TTTTTTTTTTCAGAAAAGAGCTGGTATAGTTGCACTTGGGACGCACTTGTATGCATCTGTTTTATAACGTTTTGGCATATTTTTTGGTGACCTGTGACCTGTGACCTGTGAAAGAAACCTGCCGGCATATAGCCGTGTACACATTTATATTTGCTGGTTCTGGCATATAAATGCTAAATTATGCAATGTGACTTGGCCTGATAACAATGGCCTCTTAACTTTTCTTTATCCCCCATATCCTGGCTGATAACACACATGTTATACCATCCACATGAGTCCAAATTTTCCCACCTGCTTTGGGTTACCGGTAGCGTTTTTAAAATAGCATTCTTCGGCATGGCACTTTGGTCGCTTGCCAGGCATGTGGTGTGGAATTTAAAAAGCCTTGGGGGTATCTTCGACATGAAAGTCTGGCAGAATGCACCCTGGGCCATCTTTTCACTCCTATCTACTGGAATACAATGCTTGCTGAAAACGTTACTGCAAACACTATAATAATAGGAGACACCCACCTGCACCACTGACTTTATCCATGAAATACTTCAGAGGACCTTTCACGTACATCATTCCAACAAGAATACCTGCCAGATGACCAGTAAATGAGGCATGAGGGACTAACAGCTGAATCACAATCAACTCGACCCAGCAAGCCCATCTCATGGGTACGGGGAACATACCCATCACCATAGATACACCAGAGGGTAGGTGGTAAGTTGTAAGAACTTTCAGGGCGAATATAACTCCTGAAAATCCGGCAGCACAAGTGTAAATGTACGAGTAATCTTCTGTTATGTTCGCCAGAGCAATGTCCAGTGCAACCAGCACCGTGTTTGTTAAGGCGGTAAACACTGCCAAGACGTACAAGAATCTTGAGCTTCCCATTCTTCTTTCAAGTGACATGCCTTTCCAAACGAACGAAGCCATGTTGTAGTACAGATGGAAGTCGTCCAAGTGGTAAAATGCAGCGAGAATGAGACGCTTCCAGTCGCCATGAAACCAGACGTGATGAGCACTGACACAAGCTTTCCCAAGAGGTGGAAGACTTTTCAATAGCTGAAGATAAACTGCGACGTTTATACCGATAAACGAGAGTGTCACTGGAGGAATCCTGTTGAACCCGATGTTGTATAGCTGGCTGATTAAAAATAACAGACCGATACCAGGACCTCTTCTACGACGTTGAAACATGGTCGATCTCACAAATTGCAAGACTTTTCCTTCGACCGATCACAAAGTTTTCTCTTTTTGCACAAACACGGAGATTTGAATCGTCACTTTGACAATCGGAGTGTTTACATTATGATATCTGCGACTGACGTGTAAATTTTGCATTGAATTTCGTTCAATTTCAAAAAACATTTTAGTCATCGCTTTTCACATCACCCGCCATCTTTGGTCGCGCGAAATAAGGCGAAGGCAAAATTTTGTCTTGGAGTGGAGTGGGATAATGACGTAAAGGTTTCGTTGCCTTTTTCTCTAATTATTAGCCCTTTAAAATACAAATGAGGTTTTCCTATTCAAAAAATAGATAAATTAATTAAAATAATGCACCCTTTTACACCGAAGGAAGGAATATCGTCCTTTGGAAAGTTGCAAAACAAAGAAAGGAACTTACCCTCTCCCTATTAGTATTTTATTCGCACCGGTTCAGCGGTAGTTTCCCATAGTGTAGCTGTTCCAAGATGGCGGCCATCAATACTGGTGAGTTCCCGGTTCATGGACTTTTACCAAAGCGAGAAACCGGCGCTGATCGATATCTGGCTAAATATCCCGAGTACGATGGTCGTGGGATTGTCATCGCTGTTTTTGATACGGGTGTTGACCCAGGAGCTCCTGGTTTGCAAGTGAGTTTTTGCTTTCTAAGCTTAACGTTGAGTTTTCAAGCCGATATAATCTGGCTTTCTTTACCATATCAGTGATCTACTTCAAAGGTATTTCCAATTTTCCTTTTTTTTTTCAGCCTGACTGGAGATTTACAGTTGGGCAAAGTGACAGGCTGGGATTTGTTTGGACTAGTAGTACTCGGTTTAGGGGCTACTGTTGGATTACTGTATTGCATAACTAAAAGATCAACCAATCAGAATGTTTAAATATCAGTCCAATATTTTCTAAGACTAGTGATGAAGTGGGAAAGATTTCTACAGTTTATGATTAATCATAAACCCATGTTTTAAATCTCTTTTTAACCAAGCTTATTTAGGACTGGAATGAGGGAAATTATATTGGTCCTTGGTCTTTCCCCTATGGACCTCACTACGCTTGATCTATACCATTAAGACCCTGGGCTGACATTCTCCCAGTATGGCCCTTGTACTTGGTTAATAATATGTATGTCTTAGTCTTACCTCTTGTATGAGAATGCCATTTACGGTATTTTACTGAGCCATAACATGGCCATCTTGACTACAATCCCAGACAAAATTAGTTGGGACGCTTGAGATGGATCACATATGCCCCATCCCCTCTAATCAATGTTGGAAAAAGTCACCTGATTATCAAAATCGTAAGTGGGGGAAGGGGAGAACGTGCTTGGTGTCCCAAGTTTTTTGTCCGGAATTGTAGCTTGACAAAAAGAATGACATGACTGTCCGTGGAATTAAACTTACTTTGACAAAACGTGTTGACCTACAAGTAGATCCTGAGTGGAGAGGATGTGTGAATACACCCTATTCATAAATGGCTACTACATGTACAATAATTATCCATAATTATTGCCATTTATAATTATTATAGATTCTTTTGTAAGTAACAGTAATTGGACCGAGTGGAGTACAATTCAGGGAGAAATCGCGTGAATAATTTCAAAATCGGACGAGCGCAAAGTGTGAGGCCGATTTGAAATTACAAGTACAATTTATCCCTGAACTGGACGACACAAGACCCAATTACTAATTGATCATATCTATAACAAATTTTGGAATTAAAAATGTCTTTTGAAAACTTCTTTTGAATGAACACGTCTGTAGTGCTTTTCATTAGTTTTGAAAACTGTAGGAAACATTGCGAAGGAAGCCATTATTAAAGCGCGTGTAATTGATGTGCGAATCACGTGGGTATCCAATTACAGGTATCCAATTACAAAAATTTCAAATTGGATACCTGTAATTGGACACCCATTTGATCGTGTGCCAATTAAGTGTCAAATAGGCATGCGGAGAACCAATCATGATTGAGAATTTTGTTACAGATACGATTAGTATCAAAATTAGCCAAACTAACTTCGTTTTTGAGTTGATAATCCAAAAGAGTTTTTACTTCTTAGTGAGTTTAGTAAGGCTTTAATTTAAATGCACACAAGATAATTTTTAATTGACAGCCATTTATGAATAGGGTCAAGTTGACTATCTGATAATTTGGTGGGAGGGCAGACAATAAACAAAGCATATGATGAGAGAGCATGCTTGATTGAAAAGCACTGAGAGTCCTGAATGCTGAATGTTTGGGTGATTTCTGAAATTTAGTTATAATCAAAAGGTGCATGGCAATTAAAATTATAGTCGCAATTTCTACCTATATTAATTTTGAAGGAAACTCCTGATGGACGACGTAAGATTGTTGATCTGATTGATGCCAGTGGTAGTGGTGATGTCGATACTTCAACAGTTTGTGAAGCAGTGGATGGTTGCCTTACTGGAGTGACAGGCAGGAAGCTTCAGGTTTATGCCTTATCTATGATAGTCTTTGCCTTTATTTCTTTGTCTCCTGTCAAAATGGATTAATTTGTTTAACTATTATTCCAATGTGGGGATCTATATTTATAAACAGGTTCCGGATGACTGGGAAAATCCTTCTGGGAAGTTTTTTATTGGTGTCAAGAGTGCATACAGTTTATTTCCAGGCGGGCTAAAAGGGAGACGTGTGGTAAGTCATTGACAGCTTTGCCTAAAACTAAGAGCCCTGTTCATTCTTTCTGTTGTCACATGCAATCACCTTTGAGAGTTTATTGGTTATAGGGTGGAATCCCAAATTCCCAAACTTAAAACTCCGTTAAACTTGAACCAATTCTATGCTCCCTTGGGATGAGTTTTAGAAACCATTTTCAGTTTCAGTCATTTGATACGTCAATGATGCCACCTTCAATACCCTGAACTTCTGATTTCTCAAACCATTTTTCATTTCCATTGACTATTCAACGAATCTGTTAAAAAAATTCCTCCTTGATTTAGCGCTGCAATGTATTGATGCTGCAATTATTTACATGGAAACTGTAGCATGAAGCAGCTAAGAATGTTGGCAATCCTCCTTGCTGGGATGCTAATCCCTTACAGGTTTCCTCCCTCACCTCTCTTACCCCATCTATAGCTTTCTCCAGCAATGGACCAGTTTTTACTGAATGGCATGATGTGCACTTTTCCGATTTTTTCATTCAAACAAAAAATAAACCGCTCTACTCAATTTATCATGCTGAATTAGTCAATATTTGAAGTTTCATTAGAATCTGTTGCAAACTCATAAAAATATGGGACCCCTAACCGGCCAAATGCTATAGAGAAATGTATGCCAGGGGGACAACGCTTGCCCCCTACCAGACATTTCCTTGTAAGTTTGGGGTTCCATATTTTTGTGAGTTTGCAATGGACTCTTATAAAACTTTGTTGATTTACTAAATTTGGCAAAGGTAAATTGAACTATGGAGGTGATTGTTTGTATATTTGCAAAATACTAAAAATTGTTGATATTGTGTGACATCTGTAAAAAGGTCCATTCCTTGATGCCCATGCATACTCAGGAGTGCTACAACAAAAGAGTGCCTAAACCAAAAACAAAACAAAAGAACTAATCATTATTAATGGTAACTATTTACAATAATCCTTTTCTTGAACTTGTAGAAAGAGAGACGTGAGAAACTGTGGGATCCGCCTCACCATGTATGCATTGCTGAAGCAACACGAAGGCTGGATCAGTGGGATGCTGAACACCCTAATCCATCAGTGGTAAAGTTGTCATCTTGAACTTTGACTGAGTTTGAAAAACCAAAGACAGTTCTGGAAAAATAATGGCATTTTATTGTAAAGGTTCTTTTATTCTGTTTATTTAGCAAGAGAAACTAATCAGGGAAGATCTTCAAGCACAAGTGGAAATGCTCACCAGCCTTGATAAAAATTATGCTGACACAGGTCCTGTGTTTGACTGTGTCGTGTTTCATGATGGACATACATGGAGGTAACAATTGATAATCATGGCAATTCTAAATATACTCAGGACTGGAATATATCATTCTTTTTTTTTTTACTTCAAGGTGTTGTAAATGGCATCAGCCCCCTATGATATCATAGTGTAATCTTATTTTTTAATGTCTTGCACAGTAGTTGCGTTTCCTAAAAATTTATTTAGAGAATTTCATTTTTGTTTCAGTGAGGATTGTGGTAGTGAAGATACTAGCAGTGCTACTAGTCAGCTAATTCTGAATTTCCCAAAATTTATAGTTTTTGCTTGGTTATTAGGCCACTTTTATGTAAGCTTCAAGAAAGTTGACTTTACCCTATTTTGTGGTCTCCATTGCATGTCATTTTGTCTATTAATAATTAAAAAATAGTGCTTCACTTAGTTACTGTACATTGGCAAACTGAAAGTGAGTCTCCTAGGGGCTTAATGCTGCCAATTAGATATCAAGAAACTCAACCTTTCTGTACCATCAACAGAGCTTGTGTTGACACGTCTGAAAGTGGAGATCTGGCCAGCTGTACTGTGTTGTCAAACTACAGGGATTCTGGACAATATGCTACATTTGGAAAAGAAGGTAAATAAATAAATATAACTGTTATATTTATAACCTTCTGTTGTTTAGTGTTTTAGGCATGACATGCATGCAGAGACATTTGTAGCTTTAGCCCTTTTCGTGCCATACAGGCCTATGCAATAAATTACAATTAGTTATTTTAAATTAAGGGGGTTCTCTTTTTAAGTGTCAGAGGTGTGTTGTCCTCATGGTTAGTGTGCTCGTCTTGGGATCGAGCGGTCCGGGTTAGAGCCCTGGTTAGGGACATCGTGTTGTGTTCTTGGTAAAGACACTTTACTCTCACAGTGCCTCTCTCCACCCAGGTGTATAAATGAGTACCGGGGTATGTAATGCTGGGGGTAGCCCCGCGATGGACTAGCATTGCATCCAGGGGGATATAGAAATACTCCATTTGTCTTATTTATAACTTAGCAGGGTTGTATGCCAAGACTAAGTTCTAAAAGCTATTAATATAATGTAAAACCTTAAGATTAACATTCTTTTTAACAGCTACAATAAGAATATTAAATAAGCAAATAAATGAATAAATATTTCTGACTTTACAGTGAGTTATTCTTCTCATATATCTTTTAGATTTGTTCAACTACAGCGTCAACATTTATGAAGAAGGCAAAATACTCTCTATTGTTGCTAATGGAGGTATATTTGGTATATTTCTATTCAAGATAAATCTGTTTGTGAGCAGTTTGATTTTAAAGTTGATTGAATATAATGTCCCTGTCATTGTGCTGCAGGTGCTCATGGCACCCATGTGGCCAGCATAGCAGCGGGTTATTGCCCAGATGATCCAGGGCTGATTGGCATTGCTCCAGGGGCTCAGGTGTGTTGATAGTATTATATGACCTTTATATCACTGCAGTGTATTAATTAACATAGCTCGACACTTCTGCAGTAACATGCATTATAGTCAGCTGTCCGTGTTGGTAGAGCACTGCAAAGCACATGTCCCCTGCAATTCTTCATAAATGATCTTTGTTTACCTGTAACGTCATTCTATCTTGTAACTTACGTGCTATAGTAGTGCAAGTGGCAAGACCTACTTCTGTGTTATGATTGGACCGCAATTACTATGAAATAATTATTTTTCTTCAGATTCTGTCAGTGAAGATTGGGGATACAAGGCTACAAACGATGGAAACTGGAGCTTCCATGATTAGAGGGGTGAGTAGATTGGCTTTCTTTGGGTCTGTTTCTGGTCCCTGTCTCTGTTTGGTGATCAGCTATTTAATTGAATAATGTCTGAGAACATTGCTTTTAGTTGATTGCAGTTCATCAGTATAAATGTGATCTAATCAACATGAGTTATGGAGAGGCAAGTCATTGGCCTAACTCAGGGTAAGGAGTGGTTAATTTTGATTTTTCAATTTCTTCCTTTTCTTAACTACATAATCGTTTGTCAGTCAGAGCTCTTTGTGGTTACTGGACATGCTGCTGAAACGGTGCACATGTACCAGCAGGGTGATGGGACAGGATTTGTTAAAATGCCAAAACATTTATCTAGTAAATTGTGTAAAGGGATTTGTTATGTGATGTCTGCAGAACTGATTGGTCTTGTCCTATTGCATGTATTTATGTTAAAATGGGGAGAAGTGCGGTAGTCTCATGGTTAGTGTGCTTGTCTCCAGATTGAGAAGTTTGGGTTCAAGCCCTGACCAGGGTCATGGTGTTGTGTTCTTGGACAAGACACTATACTCTCTCAGTGCTTCTCTCCACCCAGGTGTATAAATGGGTACCGGCGAATTAAATATAAGCTGTGGGTAACCCTGTGATGGACTAGCATCCCATCCAGGGGGGAGTAGAAATATTCCTAGTTGTTTCATGCTACAGAAACCGGGAAAAGCTCCAGCCTGATTGGCCACTTGCCTCATATACAGACTTTACCTTTGCCTACCATGTTAACACTGCTGCTGCTGGTTATGTTGTTTCATAAATTTTGTGATCCTAAGTGTGGATCCTGTGTGGCTAATTTCTTGTCGGTTGTCTTCATATTTCAGACGTATTATTGAAATGATGAATGAACTTGTGGATAAACACAAAGTGATATTTGTGGCTAGCGCTGGTAACAACGGCCCTGCTCTCTCCACAGTTGGATGTCCAGGCGGCACTGCAGAGTCTCTTATTGGTAAAAATTCAAAACAGCATTTTGCTTACTAGTAAGATGAAGTATCTCACAAAGAAGAGAAGGTCTAGTTAAGATTACAACCAGATATTGATTGATAATTATCAAATAAGTTGAAAACCTTAGAAACAAGATCGTGTCTGGTCCTCACAGTTGTGATAAATAAGCAAAGACCATTGAGGTTTGTTCACAATGCCAAGAATTCACCAAGCAGACTAAAAGGATACCTTTTTCTGATCATACCAAGATGTCATTCAAAAAGTCATCATTTTTGTGCAAGAGCTAGGGTTTCATTGTCAACTAAACTTGGTTTGTCTTAAGCATCAGTCGGCTGAGAACAAGCAAGCTACAGAAATCCTTGGCAGTGAAAATCTCACCATTGGATAGTAAAGTTCTCTTTTGAGGCAATATGTATGGCATGTACACACACATATTTGCATGCTGCCTAATCTTTTAGAGTTATCTGTCTGACCATAATCCAATCTGGATGTTGCCAAAAACAAGTACAAGTTTAATTTTCCAGATCAGAAGTGTTGGTTTTTGCAGACAAACTGGGCATATAAATAAGAGAAATCAGAGAAATCAGAGAAATCCTTAGAGCCCAAAAAGAGCCTGTGACAAGCTCAACTCCCTGGAAAGACAGTTTGGTCACATTGTTATATAAGTGTGGAATCACAGTATAGTGACTTTGTAAGCAAGGCTTTTACTATTTACAATGTACTATCTATCAAACTAAAGTTCTGTTACTAAGCTATCAGCCACCATTGTGTTAGTGATCAGGCTTATTGCATGTTGTTTGGCTTTTCAGGTGTTGGTGCATATGTGTCCCCAGACATGATGGCTGCTGAATACTCTTTGCTTGAAAAACTTCCAGGAAATCAGTACACATGGTCATCAAGAGGTCCCACGTAAGGAGCTTGGGTTTTCATACTTCTTTTGGATACTTTTTTACTAAAGACATCCATAGTCAAGTGTTGATTGATACCCTCAATTGACCCTCGATTGACACTCAATCAATGCTCAATCGACACTCCTCAAAACCTCCGTTGACACTTGATTGACACAAAATGTACATCTTGTTTGACAGTGGGTCAAGAGTCGACTAATTGTTGATCGATGCATATGAATCAGTCCACATGGCAGACTATTGACCAACTGTTGATCTAATGTCAATGAAGTGTCAAGTGAGATGCCGACCGAGTGTCAACCAAGTATCGATCGGAATGTCAATTAAGTGTTGATTAAGATGCTGATCAAAGGTCGATCGTGAGTCAGTCAAGGGTATCAATTGACACTCAGCTGCAAATGCCTTTAGTACGCATGATTCCTTCTTTCTTGTGGTGGGCAGGGTGGCCAAGTGATCTGTGAGCTGCAGTTCAGAGGCTGTGTTCTTGGGCAGGACAGTGCCTATATTCGCAGTACCCACAAACTTAATGCTTGGGGTAGTATTATGATAGGCTTGCATCCCATCTGGGGAGGTGGGGAGTAGAAATACTCCTTGTTGCTTCATACGGCCAAAAACAGAGATAAGCAACTGATGAGTCACTAGGCTTAAACACAGACATACCCCTACCTCTACCCTCTATGAGTAAGAGGTTTGGACTGCAGGGGCTATTTATAGTGTTTTTGGGCAGAGCATTTTACTAGTTGCACTACATCGCCCAAGAGTGTAAATTGGTACTGAAAAACTGCTTCCCATGGGCAACTTGACATGCTGAAGAAGTAACACCATAGCTAGAATGGACTAGCTTCTGGTTCATTGGGGGGAGGGGAGGATAACAAAACTCTGACTAGTTGTTTCTTGCTATAGGCATCAAGCACCTAAGGTCTTGTCTTTCGTATCTTATCTTCTTTTCATAACTGCTTGAATTGCCAGTTATCTAGTGCTCAGAACTAAAAAAGAACTTGAATTCCAGCTTGCCCTTGGGACAAGTAGCTCTAAATTTTTGCTTGCCTTGTGCAAGTGTAGTTTGCCTTTCTTAATGATTTAGTTGGCACAAGACTTGCCTGATCTTTTGCCTAATAGGCAAATGAGAGTGAAAAGTTACTTGCCCAGAAAGAGAATCTACTTGTCCCGAATGACCAGACGGCACTTTTTTCGAGCCCTGGACTGTTGCTAATAAGCAAACCACAGTACAATGTATATACACTCTCCCTCTTGTCTAGAATGGAATGACTTAGTGTTAAAGTCAATGAAACATGAAATGATGCAAGCTGATTTCTAATAACCACTGATCTTTCATGTGTAACTTACAGGACAGATGGCTCTCTAGGTGTTAATATAAGTGCTCCGGGTGGTGCTATAGCTGCCGTACCCAACTGGACGCTAAGAGGAACACAATTGATGAATGGGACATCAATGTCTTCACCAAATGCATGTGGAGGAATTGGTATGAAGACTACAGACTACAGTGAAAAATAGCATTCATTCTAAAGATACTTACAGCACTGTAGTGAACATTTCCTAACCCTTTCAGACCAAAACAATTTAACAAATGAATGATTTTTTTTTTGTTTTCCAGCACTTTTGCTCTCTGGTCTTAAAGCAAATAGCATCCCTTACTCGCCTCACAGGTGAGACCTATGTCATTTTTTCTTCTCTGTTTTATTCCCAGCAAGCTGATAGTCATTTGTAGGCTTTTTAACACACATCTCTCTCTACCCATACTTGCATTATGTTGACTGTTAAATGTTCAATTGAATCTCAAAGCTTTCTCTTTTTCTGAAATCATGTTGACCCAAGTGTTTCCTCTTTTAAATGAAGAGTGTCAGTCCTTTAAAGTAATCAAAATGCACCATTTATTCTTTAAACAGCATTCGCAGAGCACTGGAAAATACAGCTCTGCATGTGGAAGGTATAGTGAAATGTTTTTACTCATATTTATTTTTAACTTCTGCCACTGGACTGTCCCTAGTAAAGAATATGTTCTAAAATTGTATTTTTGTTGAGCAAAGTTCTTCCCCTGGGGTGACTCTCATAAAAAAGGACAGGGGTGTTTGTTGTACCTTTTAGGGGTTAAAAAGGTGGTGTTAGTGCCTCTTGGGGTGTTCAGCCTCAAAAGGTCCACAGCAGGAGCTTTCACGTTACATTTTAGGGTATTGAGTTGAAAAAAGTCAGTGTCAGTTAATGTGTTGCCTTAGAATTAGTACCTCTTAGGGGAGGAAAATATTTAAAGCCATGCCCACACAACTGGGTCTTCTTACCTCTTACAGTTTCTTGTCAAAACTTCTGATGAGGACGCCTGCCCTTTTTATATGGGACTTGTTGCAGCTCTCGTAAGGTCTCACATGAATGGCTTGAAACCCTTTGAGAGGACAATAGAACAAACGGCAGAAACAATGCCCCCTAGCTCCAAAACAATAACAGCTGCTGCAATGACGACAAAAAGAATTACAAGCTTACAAGAGCTGCTACACTACTTGGGGTTCTTGCTCATACATGCATGTGCATGATATTGGGTCTACAGTGTGATGATCAAATAATGTGTCTTGTCATATCTTTTAATCCCTTTGGTAGCCAGTATCTGGTGGTTACAAGTTGTGTGGTGACTCTTTTAATGGCTACAAAAGATACAGGGGTGTCAGATCTAAAATCAAGAGAGAACTTTTCAATTCATTCTTAAGGATCAAAATAAAAAGCTACAGAGTTATCATGTTTATCCTTAGAATGAAAGGAAGTCGTCATTTTGAGATATTCATGATATTATACAGTCAGAGATTTGAAATTAACTTGTCAATAATATTATTAAGTGCAAAATTCCACATCAATAAGCCACTGAAAATTCAGAAAGAACAGTTAGATGGATTACAAGAAACTTTAAAGTTGTAATGATAATAAATAATAAAAATTTTATCAATGTGTTGAATTGCTTTAGTTCAGCTTGGATAACCCTCTACTAACAGAGTACACTTACCTAAAAAAGAAATGTCTATCACCAAATGCGACACTTGAAGCAGTATTTTCAGTTACAATCAGCTGACTGGCGATTTTTTTTACAGGACTTGATAGACTAACTCAGGGACATGGCCTTCTTCAGGTACGTTGAAGATGTACAGTCATGTTATCTTTCTAGGTCAAAATGTATAATATTTTAGACGAAACAATGTGGTCACTCAGTCTGTGCTATTGACGTTCAGTATAACTCCTTGCCTTTGATTGTATGGCCATATTGGTGAAATACATAACCACAGCAAGAAATCTGTATTTGAGGATTTTTAGTAAGGCTAATGTTTTTTAAATCTTCTTAGTAATAGTGTATCAATTTTGTTACATTTTGAAGTACACTGCTTTGACTACTAAGTACATGCAACGTTTTAAAAAATGTGGAAGGTTGTTTTTAAAAGAAAACTAAGTCAGAGCCTATTTCAAGAGCAGTTGATTTGGTACATTTTTTGCAATTTATTGTAATATCCGAGACTTGATGAAAGCTGTTTGTGGCTCTTTCCCGTTGCAAGATCTTTCCCAATCTTACAGATGTTGTGAAACGGAAATCAGTATGTTTTAATTTTGAGCGCTATGCCTAGACCTCTCAAAAATACAGTTTTTT